CACACACACACACACACACACACACACACACACACACACACACACACGCACGCATGTATGCAGTATGCATGCATACATACACTAACATAAAACACAAGTACTTGTTGATTGAATAATCGAGAACAATCAAAACCGTTTTTTAAATTTTTTCTTCTTTGGGTTAGGATCAGGGTCGTTTTAATTAATAAATATATATATTTATATATATATATATGTTGATAAATAATGTTATAATAATCTAATAATTAATATTTTATTATTATATATACAAGTAACGTATCGTCGATAGATTGCATTGTATAATTGTTGTCGCTGAATTCGGTTAACAGAAGTTAAGTGTTCATACATACATATATATTATATAATATTATATAATGGCACTGCTATTTGAGAAGTAACGTAATAATCTTTGTTTCAATGTTGTGATAATGGAGCCAATATTTTATTAAAAATGAATTAAAAGTTTTATAATTATTTTTACTCTATTTATTTTTACTCTTTTTTTTATTTTATAATTCGCCATACAGCTTTTTATTTCCATTAAAGCTCAATGTAATTAGTGTTAACTATTTTTAAATTTATCTCTTTTTCTCGCTCTTTATTATCTCACTATATTCTTAAAGTATTTAAAACATATTTACTCGTCAACTTTAATAAATATCTTTAATGATTTTCAATGTCATCATTATGTATGAGGTAGCGTGTAGGTATACTTTAAAATACTGTAACTTATAATGTAAGTCAAATAATTATATTCAATGAATTTTTTTATCAAAACCGTCATCGTTTAATGTTTAGGTCTTCATTTCTAATCTATTTAATATCTATTTATAAACATATAGGTATTGATGTGTTAATGTATTTTTTTTTTAAATTATTTATTTATTAATATTATTACATCTATTGTATGATTATTTCTCTAAAATAATTATCGTCTACGTTTTAATGTGTTAACAAAATATTGTAAGTAGTTACTAGTAACTTGTATTGTACTAATACGTATGTATGATTTGTTTTCATGTAATATTAAGTATCCTCTAAAAATCATTATTATTAAGATTGTTAAACCTATAAGAAGTTAAATCAATCAAATTTATGATGTTTTGTTGCATTTTATCATTAAAATTTTTAATTTTAATATTATGTACTTTAAAATAACGTATTAATTTAAGTAGGGCTTGTTAATCAAATGCTGAGTTACTCGTTTAAACAATTTTAATACATCATGTACCTAATATATTCTAGTTATATTTATAACAAGTAGAAAAAAATATTTAAAAAATATTAAATAATATATTATCTGTACGAGTATATTATCCAATTTTTCAATCATTATTAAAAAGTTATATTGGTTTTTATTAATAGTGTAGATTGTGAACAAATGTTGTTATTTTCCAAAAACTGCATACCATTGTAAAATTTAATTATTTTTCAAAATTTAATTACACCGCTAAATTGGTACGTAATACATATACATATTAATTTATAGTAGGTACATGGTATCAAAATATATTATTTTTAAGTCTACCTATTACTTTCAAAGTTTATTACAAGACTTAAAAAAATAATTGTGTACATTATATCAATAATATATTTAGGTAGGTATTTTAAGAACCGCGCGTGAACAACCTTTTAACGCTATTGAATGTATACTTATATTATTATGGTAAATGTTTATTTGCGTTTGGCAGGTATTTTATAATTGAATTCAATTTTAATTATTGTTAAAAATATGTTGAATGGAATTACACGTTCAATGTTAGATACATATGACGTGTTTTTGAAACGTTGTGTATTCATGTGGTGTACAAGATTAATAATTATTGTTTAACATTTTCGTATATACTAACGTGTACCAAAATTTTCTTGTTTATCATTGTTTTTAATAGCAAATCCCTTTTAAATAATTTATAATGTATTAAAAAAATTTTTATTGTGTTATTACAGTTTTTTTTTTTTTTTTTTTGTTATTATTTTTAAACCAATCTCAATTCTCAAATGAATGTATGTAAAGCACTAAAGCTTGAGTAAATTTAAAAGTGTACTACTATTATGCCAAATTATATGCAGTTTTTTTTATTTATTGTAATACGGTTGACACTGCATCATCCAAGTAAAAAGGATCATAATTCTTGAAAGTCTCGACTCTGATTATACTAGTTTTCAATCACCCATGCATGAGTGAGTACATATTTATCTAAGTTCAGACGCGTGTGACTTTTCACTTATAAAAGCATTACAATATTCGTACAATATAAATATATCTCATATTAGCATTATCTATTTAAAATGAAACCACCCGGATATGCGTCGACAAACTTTTTATGATTTATAAATGATATATCGAAATACGTGTACTATACACATTTATGTTGAGCTTCACGATAGATTACCATACTGCACCTTCGCATTTGTAGTAAATAATTATATAACACATTGAAAAAATTGTAATTTTCCTACTATAGTAACATTATATGGTGTGTATAATAGCTTCCTTCGTTTGTGTAGCAAGTCAAACACCGTGGTAATAGTTCGAGGACATGTATAGTTATTAGACCAGGAAAGATAATAAAAAAAATTGTTTGCATGTATATAAGATAATATATATTGTCTTTACTAGCTTTTTCGAATTAAACTCTTTTTAGTAAAATTCGACAACCTACCGGACGAAATTAAATTATTACTGTTATCGTATAATTTTAAACGACAAACATTCGATTAAACTACAAAACAATACAATATATTCAATATTGGGTACCTATATTATATACCCGAGTTCACGCAACGTGATAAATAACATGCCGTTTTACCAGTCGATCAGATTCTCGCGGAGAGGGTTGTACTCAAAGAAAAGTAATACAATTTCTAAAGAGCGATTTCTTTTAAACGTATTTATTTTAAACGCTGTATTTTACCAGCTATTTCTGAATTGCTGCAGTGCGCAAGATATAAATGTGTCCCAAGACAAGTGACAATCTATTATCGGTGGTCATGCTAGTGATAAACCGTGATGTAAAAAAATTAAGTTCAATTCGAATCGGCATCATAATATTACATTATATTATTATTGTACTGAAAAGTGAAAAAATAATTTATCATTTTGTTTTTAGACGACGGTCATCGCCTACTACGTCGTCTGCAAAAGCATTCAAGTAAGTAGATTACCTAACCTATGTTACCTACTTAAATCGTATACAGTTGCCAATTTCAATAGTATATATTACTCCCAAGGTAGACAAGTTAATGAAATGAATGAACTAAAGTTAGGTTAAATGAACAAAAAACTGTTAAGTTAGAATTTAATAGTTAACAAATCATAAATTTAACTCGCAAAGTTAAAGTTAATGTAGAAAAAACATTAACAACTTAGTTTAAAAAAAGTTAATTTACTTTTTTAGTTAGTACGTAGTTTACACAAAGAGTATTTTGCGTCTACTTATGTAATAATACTTTATCAAGAAACAGAACAAAAATTTAGTATTATCTATAACCTATTGGCTATTAATATTATAGTATTAGATTATTTGTATTTAAAATCACATACACTCATACTAGTTTAAAAAACCAACAAAATTGAAACCAAGTGTTATAAAAATATTTTTAATTTCAACTTGATACAGATTATATTTAAATCAACTGAAAAACTCTAAATTATTTCAATAGTCAATTAAACTAATTAATTTCTTAAATCAAATAAAAAAATTAATTAACTAGTTAATACCCATCTTTACATATTAGCTTATACGCATATTTATCCATGATATATACCTTATCTACCTAATATTGTATGTTTATAGAATAATCTAGCCTTTGACTTATTTTCATATCCACGCATCCCGGAGCCCGGAGGAACACTATAGCCTTATTTACAATGCGATATCGCGTATTATCCGTGTATGTGTAGGTAATAATATATAGTATGTAGATCCTTTTTCGCGGTGAAATCGACCTATATACATTGCCGGTGAAGTATATTATAATATTTGATGGTAAAAGGGTGTAAGCTGTCCAAGCATTTAAATTCAAAACGCATTCCTATTCATAATATCAAAAATGTGTACATACCACATACATATACATATACAATTTAGTCAACATTTTCCTCGTATGCGGAATACCTACAACAGCCATCAATACCTAAATGCAAATAAAACAAGCAACCAAAAGTATATTGACTATTTTTATTTATTTTTTTTTTTTAACTAATATTAGTTTGATAGTTAAATAGTTGATAAAAAAATCATTTGTATAAAAAAAAAAGATATATGTTAAGGTATAGAATATTTATACAATAAAGTTTTAAATGAATACCTTTTGCTCTAAATCAACTATATCCGTGCTTGTCACCTATATTAGAAATATATAATATTATAATGGATGGCTTTTATATTAATTTAATTTACGTTAACGGCTAAAACTTTATGACAGATATTCTAAATAGAAAATACACCTAAAATCACAAAACTTACTCTGCGTTTTTGCCGTCGAGTGCCTATCTGATTAATTTACAAGAAAAACAAAAACCACTTGAGTACATTAATATGTATGAATATGTTATACGTATAGGTTAACCTAACTTACTCATTACATAGACAGATTCAGAAATAAATTACAGTAGATCTCATTAATTTCTCTGCACGCGTTATTATTGTTTAATAATACACACAAATGTCCAATCAGAGAGCCGAAAAAAAAAGATCTGCTATTTTTACACTTTAACTATCGATTATACTGCATGTATATAATTATCGATTGGTTAAATTTTGTCTATTAATTATTATATTATTACTCACGCATTTAATATAATTGCATCATATAAATATACCTATAACCTATGCGAGAAACTGTTGGAAGTCATTGGAAAAGATGACAACGTGATATAAATCAATAGGTTTCGTAACGGTAAAATATCAGATCGAAAAACGATATAAACAGAATATTTATTAATAGGATGTTAATTCAATTTAAAAAATTGACTTGCAAT